TGTAGTGCAGTTTCTGTTTTTTGTTTCACCAGAAACATGAATTGTAGAGTTAGTGGTGGTTACCAGTGAAACTGCTGCTTCTGCGGTCTGTGCTGAGGTTAAATGTTAAATGTTAAGACTTCTGCCTATACTGTTGAGAAACTGCTCTGTGCCCTGTCTGTATTTCTGTTAGCTGAAAGTGCCAATTCCTGTATGGTGCCTTTGCAGTATTAATGAGTAGATCACTAGTACTGACATTCTGCATGCTCAGTTTGTACAGAAAACAAACTGGGAATTGTCCTCTGACAAATGAAAAGAAGAAAATGTTTCCTTCACGTCATGCCCTAGCCAGCTTTGTGAGGCTCAGCAGTATTTTCTACTTGAGAAACCACTGAAGGATACTGAAATTATTTAGACTTTAAATGGTTTGGAACTGCCTGCACATCATAAAAGCAAACACTGTAAATGTTGTACCAATAGCGTTTTCTTTTAGCCGTTTTTATACAGGTTTATTTCAATCCATATGTACGGATACTTTGCTCCATTTGCATGTAATACTATAGATGTTCACAGGTATCTGAGAGAATCACTCTCACACTCAGTATCAAACTGGGAACATGAAATGCACCTTAAAGTTTATTCTGCAACAGAAAGAGAAATTTTCTTGTAGTTGCTCAGCAAATGTAAGTGAGCCTATTATATACAGACATAAAAATATTTGTAAAAAATAATAATATATAATCACATATAGATGTCTAAATTGTCTAAGTATGAACAAATCTAGATATGAATAATGATACAAGTATGTATTTGTATGTGTCTATATACGTATAATTACATAAATGTGTGTGCATAGATTTCTGAGTATGCTTACATACATATGGAAATACATATATTTGCATACACGTTCAAGTCACGTATATAGATATGTATCTATTTGATGTATAAGTTGCTGTTTATCATGTACACTTAAGATTGCTCTTTTGCCATGAAAATGACATAATCTTTCATACTCCTAGGACAAAAGAGAGTGTAGTTCTCACATTCTTTGTGACTTTTTGGGGGGGCCTATTTCTCCTTCTTTTTTATTTCACACACCCCACCACCTGCCCCCAATAGATACTTTAAGAACAATTGAACATGATTGTACTATAAAATAGCTCCCAGATCTGAGGTGGTATTTTGTTTATCACCAAGCCTGGAGAGATAAGGTTTTCCAGATTATATCAATGTCTAGATAATGTGCATTTGGATGGGAGAAATGAAGTAATTTCATGTTAGAGGGCATGTTACATTATTCAGTGATATTGCTACTCAGATTGAAATCATAGATTGGTTCAGAAATGTTGTTTTCTTCTATAGCACTACAAAAGCAGAAACACCTGCAGCATTAAAGCCATTGTGCCACATATATGCATGTGCCACAAGAATCTGAACAGCTTTCTTTTACAGAACTACTTTTCCAACATAGATTAAAATTATTTAGTAAATATGTAGCAAAGGATGACTTGAAATCCAAATCCCATTAGGATTTATTCTGACCTATTTAATAGCTGGAAACTCATGTCCTTCTCCAAAAGTCCACTGGACATTGAAAAACATACATAATTGCTTTTTCAAAAATTTTTCAAATGTTTCATCAAAGACATAATTTGAACAGCAATAAAATATGGGAACTATTTTAAAGTGTCCAGAAGCTGTAGTAAAAATACTGTGGTTTTGGATTATTTTACAGTGCAAGAGACAAAAGAAAGAAATTTATTATGGCTAGTAGTACAGACTTTTGATAGTATTTGCCTGTGCCATTAAATACTGTGGAGTGTATTTATTTACATAAATTAATTTCCTATAATTTTTTTAACCGATTTTGTAATTTTTTTTTTTTACCATAATTTGTTAAAGGAACGTAGGAATATTGTAAAATTTCTTTGGCTTTGTTATAAATATTCAGTCTTGAAATGCATGAGATTTTCATGTGGATTTAATTATGGATTTCTTTGAATCAGTTGCTCTGGCTTTAAAATCCAGGCAAAAGACTGCTGCTGAGATGCTTATGAAAGATACAGTATAGCCTATAGTCTGGACATGGCAAGGTGCAAACAAGTTGATATAGGAGCTTAGTTTGGTAGAAGTCCTATTTTCTGAGATGCTTAGAAAAAGAAGAGCCAAGTCCATTTCCAGGAGAAGAGGAACATACCCAATCAACTTCTGAGTATCCACTGACACTAGCACTGCATTCTTAATAATGGTGGCTGTGGTGAAGCCTCCATTTGGTGGTGCATGATTTTACTCTTGGAAGCCTTTGCAACATTGGTGATTCCAATGCAATAATTGATCATCCCTGCCATTATCCTTTCCTCCCCTTTACTATTACTTCTTTTTACAATTCTTTCCCACAGATCATCTCAATTCCTTAAGTTTCAACTCAGGCATGCTGGAAATAAGGACATTGACAGTCACAGAGCATGAAGTAAGACTAAATTAGTTTGGAGTATCATACATCATCTGACGTTCCCTGACTATGGTGAAATCGATAGCCTGAGAAAAAGACATATCAGGACAAATACTAGCTGTTGTAATTATGCAAGTTTGCCCTGTAGCATGGCCTTGTAGCAGTAAATGATGCACTGTAATGTAGCGCATGGGAAGTGTGGGGCTGTGTCTGTACAGTACCTAAGGCAGGGAAGACTATGGGAGATTATATCACAGTGCCCTTGATATGTCTTTTCATATTCAACTGACTCTGTTGCTCTATGTAGGAAAGACAGGGTTCTCAGGAAACTAGATGACTCTGTGGTAGCTCCTGTCCTCATTTACACCATTATTCACCTTGACAGTTCATTGTTTAGTTTATGTTCTGTAAGTGCATTCCATTTCTGAGCTGTGGAAGAAAGAATTGTGTGATTTCTCACAATCTCGTTTTTGAACATTTTCTTCTCTCTAGGTTAAGCTCACTAGAAGTACTTTCATGTCTTTCCAGTTTAGTTGAACATTCCAAAGCTGGATATGTCAGACAGATTTAAAACCATCCAATGTAAATGTTACAGTGTGGGGAGCCCAGGGTGGGAAATGCCACCCAGAGTAAAGCAGAGTATGTCCTAAGAAATAACTGCTCTGTTTTGGAGCACTGAACTGGACTCAGCAGTGCTAAGAAAAGAGTTTGCTTTTGTCTGATAGATGACTAAAAGGATCTCAGAAGGCAGGTTTTGAGCATCGGCTTTGAATATGGGAAACCATGAAGAAACATTTTGATTCTCCATCTTCAGGATACCATGTATAGGTCCTTGGGGTTTTTTGCCCTGCAGGTGATGGGGAAAAGCAGACTCATCCAAATTAATTTTGGAAAAGCTTAAAGCTATTTTCTTCATACAACAGGAAAGCCATTAGCTGAAATTGCTGGGGTGAATGAAAATTTTCAGTCTGCACTGGCTTGGAGAGGTACCAGGAGGATTGCTGCCACTGAACTTCGTGTTGCCTCTAGGCAGGTAACTACCTGGAGTTCAGTAGATGGCTTTCTGGAGGAAAGAATGTTTAGCTGTGCTGGTGGTGGAGTAGTGCCTGAAGAAAATAACAAGCAATAAAAGCTTCCACTTTGTGTGTAAGTGTAAGAATTATAATTGGAAACTCAAAGGATAGGAAACTTTTCTGAATAATTCTCTCAGTCTTTACACAATAATGGTATCATTTACTCTTCCTTATTAAAAACCCTTTTCTGGTAAGTAACACATCCCTTTCGTATGAAAGGTGCTTTGAGCAGGAATTTTAGGTTAGTAAACCCCTAGAATTTAGTTTACAGACAAATTTAATATCTTCTTTAACCCAGAAAAGATAATGTCTGGATGCTTGCTTGCTTCCTCCTTCCTTTGCAGGACTGTGTTGTGCTTTAGTAGTTGGTTTACAGGAAGAAACTCTAGGTTCAGAAGAAAATTACTACTTTTTGTTTTTTTGAGATGGGTTGACAAGATATGGCCGTTCAAGATTTTAAGTCCATGGGTTAAGAAATAAACCAGGTCAAAGAGTTGTAATTCTCTTTATTTGATAAATACATTTATTTCTAAGAAAGCAGCAGAACCTATTCAGAAATATGCCAGTGGAAGAACTTTGATATATAAATCTAAAACCACTATGGAAATGATGAAATAAAGTACTTGTGCATAACTTTTTGCAACTTGTCTAACAAAGGAAAACAGTATAAGAAACACTAATGCTAATTATTTTCTGAATATGTTTCCTGGACTGTGTTGCTGTCAGGCACTGACAATAAACGTCAGGGTCTGGACCTGAACAAGTGTCTGCCTTTCTATGTTTCTCTGTTATCTCCCTGAAGCTATTTTCTTTCAGTGCTTCGGTGCAGGTGATAGGGAAATGAGGGGGAGATGAATCAGGAATTGTTATTACCATTAGCTGGTGTGGAGGAGACAATAAGAGCTGCACTACTGGGCAAGATTTCATTTTCCTTGATCCCTCCTGTGTGTATTGTCTTCTTGGTATAGCACCAGCAGAAATAGTCCATCCCATCCAACCTTGAGCATTCCGTGACACGGAGAGATTTATCTCAGAGCAAGCAGATCACCTGATCAATTTCATACTGCCTTCAGCTGCAGCTCCTGAGCTCAGTCTGTTTATAAGGATTTCAAATCAAATTGTCATCACCTGCTAGAAATCATAGCAATAGGTATCTTTGGTGAAACCTTAGATTTACCTACATTTTGTTTTACTGTCATTAAAAATTCTTTCCTGTATCATCTCACAAACATAATGTCTAGTAAAAATTTTTAGGAACTAATCGCTGGCATTTTCAAAAGCAAATTTCTTGCTCATACTACAGAAACTTCACCCTTGGGAGCCATTTTGGTATAGATTTCTGGAGAGGAGTTATGCCTCTAAATACAAAAAATACCAAGATATGAAGGCTGAGTTCAAATCCAATCTTCACCTCACTTCCTCTAGATAACAGAGAGATGTAGATCCAAGGCTAAAACTTTCATTGTAATGACAAAATGTCATCTAGGGTAATAGGATGTCTCCCCAGACTGCATCTGCATCAGCAATTTTTAATGTATCGAGGCCAAAAATTATATAGCAACTAAAACATTCCTGTGGGTTAATGGCTTTATGGATTTTGACTATAAAAATATTTATATACTACATAATTTTTGCCTTTGCCGGAGGAAGAATTTTTTAAGCAAGTGTGGAAAACTACTAGATTGGCCAGAGAAGATCAAAATTCTGGACCTTATGGCTTAGCTGGATCTTGATAATGACTGTGTTACAGCAATTTAGAAAAGATCCATATTATATAAATACAACCTCATTTTATTACTATATGCATATTGTAGCACCGACAAATTGCCAGAACTGTATCTACGGCACAAGAAGAATGGAGACATACAAAATAATATGAAGTTCCCATATTAAAGAGCTTACCATTTAAAAGGCCAATAGGAGAAGATAAAGCTGGCTAGGGAGGGAATATAAGAGGTGTGTCTGTGGCAGGTTTGTAAAGCATTAAGACATTTCATCTTAATGAGGCTGAGAGAGGCTGAGAAAGTTGGGGCTGTTCAACCTGGAGAAGAGAAGGCTGCGTGAAGACCTTGTAGCAGCCTTCCAGTATCTGAAGGGGGGCTATAGGGAAGCTGGGGATGGACTCTTCATTAGGGACTGTAGCGATAGGACAAAGAGTAAAGTGTTAAAAATTAAACAGGGGAAGTTTGAATTGGATAAGGAAGAAATTGTTTACTGGAAGAGTGGTGAGGCACTGGAGTGGGTTGCCCACAGAATTTGTGAATGCTCCATCCCTGGCAGTGTTCAACTCTGCCAGGTTGGGCAGAGCCTTGGGTGACATGGTTTACTGTGAGGTGTCACTGCCTATGGCAGGGGGGTTGGAACTAGATGATCATAAGGTCCTTTCCAGCCCTAACTATTCTATGATTGTATGGTTCACCACAGCCATCAGCAAAAGGTTGTTAATTGTTAACTGTAGTGAGTAATACTTCATTTGCATTTCCCAATGAGATATCCCCTGCATACACATATGAGTAAAATAATCTTAATCTGCTGCACTGGTCATTTTTGGAAAAGCGTTATGAGTATAGTAAAAGTTCAGCACAATCCAGGACATTGATTATTCACTTGTTGTATTTGATCCCAGGCAGCAGTCAGCAATAGTATCTTCAGGATAAATGCCAAGCTGTCCTCCTCTCCCTTCTGCACTGAGGAAGTATAAAAATTGTCTCACTCCGAAGGGAAACATTTTAAATTGACACATTGAGCTGTCTGCAAGAGTCTGAAAAGATACTTAGCAGGACTTACATATAAAAGAGTGGTGGGACTGTCAGAGTTCTCAGCACTGTCTTAAATCTTTGCCCATTTAAACCGATAATAAAACACCTTTTAACTTCAAGAAGATCTGCAGGTTGAGGCAGTGGCATATATTTATGCAGTGCTTTCCTGGCAGAATGCAGGAGAGGGGAGTGTCAGAAAGGGGTACCATCCACCAGTTCTCCCAGTGTTACTTTGATGACTTGCGTGCCTTCTGTCTGTCTGGTCCTGTCCTACCTCTGCTGATGTAGGTGTCCATGCAGGTAGACACCGTGATGTTCTGTGCAGGAAAAGGAATGCTTCAGCCTCAGTTCACTTGCAGAAATGGGATCTTGATAACTTTGGGGGAGAGTAGAGGGCGATGTAGCTGAAGGAGGAAACGCAAAACCAACAGGGTTAAGAGAAAGACAGACGTGAGCCCTTGTCCCTTCAGTTTTCAGTACTGTTTCTATATTGCCATTTTTTAAAACAGTGTTTTGTCTTCTTATAACTTACTTTTATTTTTCCCTTGTATTACTGTGGGAATAAAACCAGTTAAAAATAAATAAAAATTACTTTTGTTTTCTAGCAGTCATAGCACAGGGGAGCCACATTTAAGAACCAGCAGGGCTGTAAAGCAACATAACATGAGCACAGTCTCTGCTCATGATAATTTACAGTACAAATAGGCATAACTGGTGCTTAATGACATGGGTCACAGAACCACATAGACTTGACATATCTTTCTGCAAATTAAAAAACTCCTATGCTGAAAAACTAAAATCATTATCATAATCTAGTATAACCAGTTGGATCATGGGCAGTACACAGCATGGCATTTCCAAGGTAAGAAACCTCCCAAATTTCTGTGGATAATATGTTTTAATGCTTAATAGTTTTCTTGCATTGAGTCTGACCTTTCTTTCAAGTCCAAATGTTTTCCATCTCTTTTTTCAGCACCTGAGTGTTGACTCCCACTTGAGCAAGGAGTCAGCTACTGCAAATGGGATTTTGTCATGGAAGACAGTTATTCATTTTTCATTCAACTTTCCTACAGATGAATCATAGAATAGTTAGGGTTGGAAAGGACTTTAAGATCCACAGTGCAATACAGAGAGCAAGGGCAAGTTATTTAGGAATTATAGAGTCTTGCCCTGTCTGAGCTCTGTCCCACTGAACTGGAGCAGTGACCAAGATAGCTGATGTACACCTAGCTCAGTAGTGTGGGCTAGCAAGTGCTTGGACTGCAGGATAGACACTAGATACAACATCCTTCGAAGGTATTGAAGGGGGTAAGTAAATGGTCTTGACCAGTACCACTTCCAGCAAGAGCTCCAGTCTCTCATGCCTAAGGTTTACAGAATAAATCATACTCTTCTGTCACATAAAATTATGAAACATCTATGAAACATCCACAGCTCCTGGGAGCATATGGTGAGCATAAGGCAAGCAGAACAACTGTCCTCACCAAACAAAAGCAGCTTCATAGCACCTGAGCAAGTTGAACAGGTCTCCTGAGAGCAGCAAGGTTCAGTCAAGTGTTCAGTGATCACCAGTCAATCCCACAGTGACAAATCAGGTTCAAAGCTGAGCCAGGAGGTCAAATCATCACCTCAGTGTCAAGGTCAGTGAGGTAGGCTCCTTGGCACATACATACCTACAACAAGCTAAAGGCAGAATCAAGCTCTGAAGCCTAAACACGGACCCTGAGCAAAGGGAAGTGGCCCCGGTGAAACTTCTCTCAGCTCTTTTAAGCCTCAGCTGTCTGGCCCCAGGCATCAGAACTGGGTTGGAGCACAGACAAACAAGCTTTCAGAGCCTGCACTTTAGGGCCCTGACACTCACCTTATGAACCCAAAGAGACAAATAAAAGGCTAAAAAATGAAATCATTCTACACCAGACAAAGATTCTTAGAAACAAACTTTCCTAAGATGACAGTTTAGGATTACACAACACTGGAGATCATGAACACCTCCCCTGCCCTGCATATCATCACTCAGAATTTTGTGCACTACACACTAACTCAAAAGACGTTAGGCCTCAGGAAGCCTTTTGATAATCTGAAGGTCTTCTGATTGCCTTGTTTCCACTGTTCCATATAATTCACAGTAGTAGCCTAAGAAACAGTGTACTTAAAATATTGATTCCACGATTAAAGCTTATATTTACGCGGTCTTATATGTGAGACAGGTAGTGACAAAACATGGTACATGTCTTAAATATTCTGAGGTCCTACTGATTGAGGCTACAGTTCCTATAGGCAATCACTTAAATCAGCAAGCAAGTAGCTAGGAATAGCTATATAATGCAGCGAACAACATGAGCTAAACTTTTAGATTTTTGTTTTAAAAAACAATTTTTGCATAGAGTGAAAATCTTTCTTATCGTCCTGTACCTCTGCTGTGTTTTCTCATTAAGGACAGATTTTAGGAACAAAACTTCTTTGTATTTGATGAGTTTTGACATCTGTGCTAGATAAGGATCCAGCATTTAATTCTTCCTCAGTGTTCCCTTCTTTCTTGCACGTTTTAAGATATTTTATTTCCACAGTTTCAGCTTCAGCCCACTGCAAAGACACATACATCCTCCCTTGTTCTGGGCTGTTTGATATATAGAGAATTTAATTTATGTTTCTTTCTCTTGTCTCTAATGGACTGAAAAACAGTAAATGTTCTGACATTAATTATGTTGTTTAATATTTCATATTCTTTATTCAGAAAAATCTACTCTTATATGCTATTTTTCAGCTTGTCTAGTTCATCTCTTGGGCACGTGCCACTTTAAACCTAGGATCACTACACTTTTCCATCACTTTTTAAAGGTAAAGTGATTGCACATACACACAAACAAAAGAAAGGTGTTACTAAACATTTTTATAAATACAAACCACTGGTACCATTTTATAGATCTCTTGCCTAAACCACAAGGAATTAATTGAAGTTGGTGCCATTAAGCTGTATTTGCATCAGTGTAAAATAGAAGAATTTAGATTGAAAGAAGGACAAGAATTGAGGTGTGTAGAGACAAAATTAGGGAATGTATCAGGAAATCAGCCTGAACAGCAGCTGATATGGCTGCATGCATTAAGCCATCTCTGTTCTCTTGCTTCTAATGCAATTTAGTATTATGTACAACTGTGCATTTGTGTACGAGAATTTCAATTTGATGTTTCTGGTTTGTATTTTTATCAGATGAACAAACCTACAGTTCTATACTATCTCTTTTTACCTGATGGCTGTGATGAAAGGGAAGCATATTAATAATATTAGAAAATATTATTATTTACATTTGAAAAAAATGTAACAAATATACAAGGTATTGGATTGCCCTATATCACAAAGGATAAGATAAGGATCATCACTGAATCTATGTGAGACATGTCTATGTTCATTAATAAATTTCCAAAAGAAGTGATTAGTTGTACTTGTTCAGTGTTTTGAAATTCTTCTTCTAAAGTAAGGTCGTTGAAACATCTGGGATGAATATTCAACCATGACATTATTAGAGCTACACAAGATGCCTAGAAATCCAGTGGTCAAAGTGGTAACATTGCATTAATGCTGATTAGCAGTTGAATTGCAGAAAGGCATATTGAGGAAACCCTTTTAGACTGAATTAATTAAAATTGCAGGCACAATTAGATTACAAAAGACAATGAGCTCGAAATTCAGCTGGTACAAATTACTACAGCATCATTGAAATCAAAACCTAGTTCAGTGGCTGCTGGAGGACTTCCATATCCTGACTCCAAAGTGTTTTACAGAATTTGTTGTGTGCCATACATAATAAGCTGTCATAGAAGGATTTCTATTTGTTGCAATGTCATAGAGGTGATTCTCTTTCAGGTTTTAAAAACCTGAATGTCACTAGAATGGCACTAAGAATTCCCTATGGAAGCTCTGCCATAGTTGCTATTTGGGATATGAAATTATGCACTAGGTTGGGTAGATGGGCATTTGTGGGGTCAAGCTCCAAAGTCTTTGTCCCTCAAATTATGTTTTATCTATCTTTTCATTTCACTTCTCAACAATCTATGAAGGGAGATGTGAATATTTTTTGCCTCTCAGGCAAGGAAGATTTCTACATCTTTGTGTAGAGAAAAAACAGATAAGTATAGTTTTTTTTTTTTTTTTTTACCGTATTTGATTTTATTAAAAAACAACAACAAAAAGCAAACAAAAGTCATAGCATTTTGTTAAGAAAACCGTTGAGAGTACAAAAGATATAAACTGCTTTTCTGTTTAAATTTTTTCTATAAGACTAACATAAATTATTTTCAGATTTATGCATTGATAAAGAAAGGTCGTTAGCTTGTAAGCACATTGTCTAAACATTGGAGTAAAATTACATTCTCAGGCTGTGATACAATTGAAAAGAGTGGTGGAATTCCTCTATCATTATGTACTTTTTAGGGCAGATCCCTTCCCTACTCAATCAACTTAGTCAAGAAGAGACCTATTCCACTCTTGTCTGAGGGAAATTGACATGCACATGTCCTGTAATCAGTTTCTTTTAGAAAGAAGGAAAACTGGACAATTTACAAAAAAGACAGTTAGTTGGACTCTAAACAATGAAGAACAGAGTTACCACAGCAGATTAAGTCCATGTTGCAGAAATACTGCTACTACTTCTGTGATATGCTTCCCTGTCAGTAGCTTTAGGTAGACTTCTAAAAAGTATCTTTATAGGTTACAAACATGTTCCTTTTTCTTTCTCCTTTTCTTTTTATTTTCCTTTCTCTTCCTCATTTCCGTTTCCTTTTCTTTTTTATGTTTTTCCTTTTCAATTTTCATTTCCTCCAAATACCTCCTGAATGTGTTCTGATAGCAGTCAAGGTTGCATTAACTGACCATAAGTTTGTACTTCCACTGAAATTGGATGGACAATTCTCTCTGCAGTGTTCTCAAGTCTTTCATTTGTTCTCACTTTCTGCTTTTATAGACTGGAAATGGTCCAAAGGAGGGCCACAAAGATGATGAAAGAGATGGAGAACCTGTCTTGTAAAGGAAGACTGAAGTAGTTAGGTCTTTTCTCCCTTACCCTGGTTCCAGCTGAGATCATTTTCTTCCTAGTAGCTGGTGTTTTGGCTTTAGTCTGAGAATAACACTAACAACATACTGATGTTTTAGAGGTTGCTCAGTAGTCCTTACCCCAACTGAGGGTACCTCATCATGATATTGTAGCATATATTGGGCAGCTACAAAGAGGATGGAGAATCTTTCTTCACAAGGAGTCACACATAGCAGACAAGGAGCAAGTTGCACTGGGAAGGGATTCATCTCAACATAAGAAAGAATTTTTTTACAGTAAGAACAAACATTCATCGGAACAACCTCCCCAGAGACGTGGTAGAGTCCCCATTGCTGCAGGTTTTCAAGATGCATTTGTACAGGGTGCTAGGAAATTTCACCTAGTGTCCCTCCCTTTCCTGCAAAAACTTGGGCCAGGTAATCTTTCCAGTTCCCTTCCCACCTGTGCTGTTCTGTGATTCTTATTAAAGTCAATTGCATTCACCATTCAATTTGCCCAGGTTATTTTTCAGTTATATTAGTTCTTTGCATTGCTAAGCACACAGCTGTGTTAACCCCACACAGCTGTGTTTGGAACAGGCTGCCCAGGGAGGTTGTGGAATCTCCTTCTTTGGAGACATTCAAAACCCGCCTGGACACGTTCCTGTGTAACCTTATCTAGGTGTTCCTGCTCCGGCAGGGGGATTGGACTAGATGATTTTTTGAGGTCCCTTCCAATCTCTAACATACTGTGATGCTGTGAACCCTAGTGCAGATGCAATGCATAGAAGAGATGAAAAAGAGCATCTGAATGTAGAAAAACCTTTTTTTTTTTTTTTTATTTTTTTTTTTATGAGGTGTATGTAGCCACAACCTCAGCAGTGTTCATCTTTCAGAATTGGTTTGTCCTTCAGCCTACTATGAGTCAGGTATGAGATTTAAGGGAAATTTCCCCTTGGCTTGTTGTGCTGCTTTATGACTTTGCTCTTTTACAGGTTTTTGTTGTCTTTTAGTTAAGCTGCACTGGATTCAGTGTGAATTGACGTAGCTACAGTCAGAATTACTGTTAATTCTCTAGATATGAACATGTGGGAATTCCTAATATTTAATAGTTCAGAAGAAGTTTTGCTGATAGTTGGACATTGGTGAATTTAGGTAGGAAGACTTCTAGCAAATAAGATGTGAGGATGAAGAAAACAGAATATTGGTGAACAGTACCACTGTTTTAATAATGAATGGAAGCCTCAACATTTGTTGGTAAGAGATATGCATACACAGGCTCAGACATCACTTTTTATTCATGAAATAATGTTCTCTTTCAGCTGTTAGATAGAATTCAGAGCACTGTGAAAGCAAGGTAGATCTCAAAATTACCTGTATTTTTGTGTAGATGGCATGCCTTCAAAAGCTTATGGGGCTTAAAAAGACGTTTGTTGTATTGTAGAAACATATAGCTCTGACTTTGTGATTATTTTGTGTTACAGCAAAATCAGGGCTTGCTTATGAAGGCATTTACCATAAATACTGGTATCCTTGACAGCACCAGAATCCAATAAGTTACTCTGTAATGAGCTACTTTTCTCCACAACTTGTATGATTATATGATAATAAAATTTTACAGGGGCAACTTTTGGAAAATATTTTAGGTGTTACTATATGTCAAATTTGTGTTGTCACTGTAAAATATGGTATTACAATTCATATTAAAGTATCTCAACTTGCTACCAGGCATATAGCACGAA